AGAGCGAGACTCCATCTCAAAAAAAAAAAAAGAACACTTAGGACAAATATGTTCTATGCATCTGGCAGGAGCAGGAAGATCCCCAGTTGTGTGAATATTTTTGTTACTATTTTATTCCTGCTCATGTTTTCTAAGAATCTCAATGTTGAGTATCTTAAAGATAATGTAGCCAAACTTTTAGCTTAGAGATCACAAACGTGTAATCCACATTTTTTGCTCGTTTAAAATTCCTATAGTTATTTACAACAGTGACTTCAAGTGTGATTTGTCAATTTTTTGGCAATAATGATCATGGTTTTTCATATATAAATAACACTTTATAGTTTACAAAACACTTTTTCACACGATATTATTTAAATTCTCAGTGTCTCTGCTAATTGCTCCAAGTTTACCTAACGACCCTCCAAATTATACTATTTTACAAAAGCACAAAATATTTTAAAACCCCGCAATTTACTTTTACATGGTAAAATGAAATGTTTTTCTTTTAAAGAATGAAAGAATTACAGGATTATATCTCAGAAACGTTTGTGCTTCATAATTCACTATTAGCAACACATACTTACTAAAGGCCTATAATAGCATTCCAATTTTTTAAACCTTAAATGCAGAAATACGATTTTAATCCAGAGCTAGAATCATAATTAAAGGGTGTTTAGTAGATACATGCAAATATCAAACAATCTTAACCAAAGTGCCATATTCCCAATTACTTGGTATATGCACAAGATAGGGCAGCACTACAGGGCAGGGGAGAGTTAACAAAGACCAAAAGCGGGGGTAAGAAAGAATGAATGGGTGAGTTGTTACCCTGACAAAAATTCACATTTCCCAAAATCCAACAGTCATGCCCAAAGGCAAAACAGGCAAATTCTTTAAGTAGAATAATAGTGGAAGCCATGAAGCTCACAATGGCACTTCCATTCAACTATTAATGCACAAAATTCTACCAGAAATGCATCCCTCTGAGGATTTTGCCCTATTGAATTCTCACCCCTCTTTGGACAGACTAGAAAATGTAGGGTATACAATACAAGCTGCTCTTAGCTACCCGCATTCTGTGTAAGGACAGTCTACAAGAGGGAACTTTTTGAAGGTGAAGAGCTGATGATAAAGTAATGATACCATATATTAAGTAACTATAATGTGCTAAGCTTTTTACAGCTACCATCTCATTCAGTCCCCATATAAGTGCTACAAATAAGGTATTTTAAATCACATTTCATAAGAAAGCCAAGGCCCAGAAAAGGTAGGTTATTTACCCAAAGTTCAGGAGGAACAAATGAAGAATCTGGGGTCAGAGCTGGACTATCAGGGAAATAAACTGACGATACACTGATGCTGAGTCAATGACCTTGGGCTCCTTTCAAAGGAGCCTCAGTATTGAAATAATTAAGCACTGAAGCAATACTGACTATAGGTGATAAAGTGGTCCCAGGTCTCCATCTGCAAGAAAACAGGGAGATCAAGAGGGGGAAAGTCTCTTCCTTCTTATCTCCTCCTTTCCCTTCCCTTCTTTTCGCTTCTCTTCTCTCTTTGCTCTCTCTCTATCTCTCTCTTACATACACACACACAAACTCACACACACACACACCCCACCCACTTAAATTCGAAGGATATAGGTAAATAGAAAGCTTAAACCACTTAATAAGCAATGAATTTATAATTACAACTACTAATTCTTAAGGATTCTGCCATAACAAGGGTATATATTTACAGAGACAAAGGGAATTGAGTGTAAGGGGAATTTCAATTTATGGGAAGGAAGCTCGTCAAAAAATAGAGAGCGTTGAACTTTGCCTCAGATTTCAACAAAGGATACCAGCATGTGGGGTGCTCCCTAAGTGTAACTGATATTAAAAATTAATCAGGTCTGGAACTAGGACATTTCCTGGCTTTGCCAAGCAAAAAAGTTAGATAATTTAATATTGATATTAACAAAGATAAGGGAATGGGTATTTGGTTTTCACTTTGTTAGGAACTTCCCTAAAGAGTTTTGTATTCTTAAATAGCATTTTACCCAAGAGAAGAGTTATAGACACCACAAAGTGAAACCAAATCATGTAAAATGGAAACTGGTCAACTAGCTCTGACTGCACTCTTCTATTTGTGAAGGCAACAAAGAGAAAACACTTTTAAGTCTGAATACTTACATGTCTCACAAACGTTTTTGTTAATGGTAGTATTAGAAATAACTGAAATGCAGAGGATAAAAACTAAGTCCTAGAATACATCAAACTCAAAGTCACTGAAAGTGCTATATAGTCAGTCTGATTGATTATGCTAATACCCACCACCAATCACATTTCATGAGGATCTCAACAGTGATTTTCTTTATGAGGAAAAGTTTTTAACTCCTGAAAAACTAGAAATAGCCAAAGTCCTAAAATAGAAGAAAAGGAGCAAGGTATAATAAAAAAGCATTTGACCAAATTTCAGTCTTGGTTCTCCTTGGTGATCTTGGGCCAACCACTCCATGTCTTACGCACCACATATTTCCACCTACTAAATAAGGAGGTCAAGTCAGATCAACTCTGGAGTCTAACATTCTCTGATTTCATAAGGCATCCTTGACTGTTTAAAAAACTACTGTATTCAAATGTTTTATACTATCTATATCTAGATAGATAGATAGATAGATAGATAGATAGGTAGGTAGATAGATAGATAGATAGATAGATAGATAGATAGATAGATAGATAGATAGATAGAGACAGAGAGGATCTCAACATTGCCCAGTCTGGAATGCAGTGGCATGATGATATCTCACTGCAGTCTTGAACTCTCAGGCTCAAGTGATCCTCCCGCCTCAGTCTCCCAAGTAGCTGGGACTCCAGGAGCATGCCAGCACACCCAGCTAATTATTTTTATTTTGTAGAGACAGGAGTCTCACTCTGTTGCCCAGGCTACTCTCAAAATCCTAGCCTCAAGCGATCCTTCTACCTTGGTCTCCCAAAGTGCTGGGATTACAAGAATGAGCCAACCTGGTCTATGCCATCAATTTAAACATTAATTAAAAACTAAAATCATAGCTTGTGCTCAAAAGTGTCCCTAAAAAGGAGTTCCTCAGAATTCTGCTTCTCTTAGAGCACACAAATGAAGACTATTCCTACATAGCCTCTGGTTGATATAAGATAAGCCAAAAAAAATTTTTTTTTTTATTAAGAACAAAGTGCTGGGAATTTCTGTGATAATTAAATTCTTCTTTATCTCACTACATGACTGCCATCTCTTGGTAGATGCTGAGATAACAGAAGCTGATTTCCTGATCAGGATTGGAATTTGGCTTCAGGCTTCAAGAAAATATTCTTGATTCTTGCCAGTAGGGAAATCTACCTAATAAGGCAAGTGTAAATGTAATCTGTAATATTTAAAAGATAGAGATTTGTTGTTTTCAAGGTTGGTTTCCTGAGAGATGAAGAATACTGTGCAGGAAATATTAGGGAGAGCTCTGGGGATCAACCCTTTCTCTGGCGGAAGGGAGGAAAACGCAGAGGCTGGGCTGTAATGTGATTCCAACGAGGGCCTTAATCGACACCACAGAGAATTCTGAAACTGGCTGGACCTTCAGAATTGTTCTGAGTTGGGACAAGATGACTAGGCCTTCACATCCTCACATCAATCAGCCCTTGGATACAGGCGTCCATGGCCCTGGACAAGGAGCCATGACCCTGAGCAAAGTGACTCTCTCTAAGAACAGTTTCTGAAGGGGGCTGTCACAAGGAAACTATCAAGTAGCAGCAGACCTGGAAGCAGGAGGAGTAGACCTTTCAGACCTAAGGGAGAACCTAGGGGTGGTATGACAGTGTCTGCTACATAATTATTCCATACTGTCGTGAATAACTGTTTCTTAATAAACACAGTGGCAAACACAGTGTAACTAATCTTGCAATGATTACAAAAACCAAAGGTAATAAATATAGGAAATGATGCAGCCACACTGGAAAGCAATTTAGCAGTTTCTTTAAAAATTAAATTTACCATATGGGCCAAGTACTGTGGCTCACACTTGTAATCCCAGCACTATTGGAGTCCAAAGTAGGAGGATCACTTGAGACCAGGAGTTTGAGACCAACCTGGGCAATATAGCCAGACACCATCTCTACAAAAAAAGTTTAAAAATTAGCAAGGCATTGTGTTATGCACCTGTAGTTCTGGCTACACAGGAGGCCAAAGCAGGAGGAATTTGAGGCTACTATGTAGCTATGATCATGCCACTGCACTCCAGCCTGGGACAGAGTGAGGCTCTATCTCCAAAATCTATGTATACATATATATATGTGTGTGTGTGTGTGTGTGTGTGTGTGTGTATAAAATTTACCATATGGTTCAATAATTCCACTCCTAGATGGAAGAGAAGTGGAACACGTTTGTCCACACAAACACATATACAGGAATGTTCATAATAGCATTTTTCATAATAGGCAAAAAATGGAAACATTCCAAGTTCTATCAATTTGTGGATGGACAAACAAAATGTGTTATGCCCATAGAACGAAATAGTATTTGGCAACAAAAAGGAACAAAGTACTGATACATGCTACAACATGGATGAACTTCAAAATATGCTTTAAAACCCTAAAGCAACAGACTACATATTATATGATTCCATTTATATGAAATATCTAGAAAAATATCTATAGAGACAGAAAGTAGATCAACAACTGCCTGAGGCTGAAGGCAGAAACAGAGGATGACTGAACATGGCATAAGCAATCTTTGGAGGTCATAGAAATGTTTTAACAATGAATTGTAACGGCACCACTCTGTGAATGTACTAAAAATCTTTTAACTATATACTTAAAATGAGTAAATTTTACATTAAGTAAATTATACTCAATAAAGCAGAAGAAAGGAAGGGAGGATGCGGGAAAGGAGGATGCAGGAAGGGAGGATGCGGGAAGGGAGGATGCGGGAAGGGAGGATGCGGGAAGGGAGAGCATGGGAGGGGAGGAGAGGTCATGATGTTCCTAGGTGGCCAACTCTGACCAGTTTTTTGGTTTTTTTTTTTTTTTTTAATCTAAACATAGGATATGGGGTTAAAATAATAGCCTAGTCTGCATCTGTCAGAATACGTCATATCAGCAGGTCCCTGGACCTCAATGTTTAGGATCTAAATTCACTTTGGGGAAAGCTCAGCATAAACAGAGCCCATAAACAGTATGACAGTTACCTCCCTAAAGCAGCTGGTAGGAGACTGCTAAAACAAACTGCTAAAAACAAACAAATCACTCTAAGATATATACTTTCAATGTATCTCTAAAATCTTCATCAGTCTGACAAATGAAACTGTTCTTCCTCCCTTCTACACATATACCTAGGCTTAATAATAATACCATATTTGACCAACTTCCCTTTTCAAGATTGACCCTGATGTTCATTTTTACACAATTTCACCAAGAAACTAAATTTATAGGGGGGCAAAAGGAGAAGTGAGGATGGGGAGGGAGAAGGCCTAGGTATCTAAGCTCTACTGAAAGCATACTATATTCAGCACTGTACTTGTTACATATTATGTCACTTAGTCTAACTACAATTCTGTGAGGGGGACATTATTCTTATTTAATGAATAAGAAAGCAGAAACTAAGAGGATTAAGCCATTCATCTGAAATCAGCTAGGATGGTAATAAGATGAACACAGGTAAGACTATATAAACAAGACAATACAAAAATATCAGACTACTTTGCAATTGTCTTTTTGGAGTTAGGCAGCCAGACTCTGCCCCTATGAACAGGGATGGATTTTCCCCTGAAAAAACTGAATATCCCACTGTAAAACATCCTGGGAAGAAGTTTTTCCTGCAGCTGAAAATGAATCTCTGGAAATAAAAAAGCTTCTCTCTGGTCACTCTGCTTAGGAGACGAAAATTCAGAAAAATCTGGAATGATCAAAAGAGATGACCTGCTCTTGGCCTCATAGAGGCAGGACAGAAGGTAATATGAAGCTGATCTGGAATCACAGGTTGAATTCTGCAGAAGCAGCTGTCAAGACATTGTTTAGGATCAAAATATTTATTAGGGAATAACACCAGTGAGAGGAGGGGCAAGGAAGCAGAACTGGACAAAGGAAAAAGTCCAAATGTCATACAAGCCTGATGAAGCCCTGATCACACCGGAGGGCATCTCTGGAGCAAGCATTACCCATCAGAAGTGTTCTCTGATGCATCTCCATGTCTCCCAAACCTAGGAACAGACCCTAGGGTTGGTCTGGGTTTTTGAGCAGTTGAAAATTAGCCTCCAGACTGTACATTCTTTTCTTTATAGTCTTGCCTTGGTTGTGCTATGAGAAATTAGGAAAAAACCTGACCGTGGTAGAATGATAGAAGAGATGAAGTAGTTAGAATCACTTCAGCTCTAAACACAGTTTTAATTTGTTGAAATAATATGTATTGTCTCATATACAATATGAGATATTCACAGGCAGAAAAACTGCAGCGTTTGCATGATTGGGGCACTACTTCCCTCTGTGATACGGGTTCTCTCCTCTGTGTTGGCTTCATCCTTAGGATGGTAGTAAAATGGACTAGTTCCAGATATAACATTCAACAGGGCAATGTCAAGAGGCAGAAGAGGGATGGTGTCTTCTGGTGCACCCTTCATAAGACCAAGAAAACCTTTCCCAGAACTCTCCACCTCCATTCCAGCAGACCTTCCCTCACATCTTATTTGTCAGAACAAGACACATGTCACTCCTAAACCAATCACTGGTGATCCCTTTGGAATAGTCAAGACCAGCTTAGTCTGTTCAGGACCTGTCTGCTATAACTGGGGATGAAGCCAACTTCTCCTAAAGCACTTAGTTCTGGGGAGGAGAGATGGATGTTTGGACAAAATCAGAATTCTCTCAGGAAGAAGACAAAAGCAAAAAGTTGGTTGAGCATGTAACCTACAATGTTCTCTACCTAAGGATGCTATTGCTGAAGTCAGAAATGTCACTTAGCCAAGCAACTATGGTACAAGTATCAGAACTAGCAGAAGCACCAGCTTTAGAACAGTAACAGAAAATAATCATACTGGCCTGTTTCTGCTTGTATACTAGAATCTGAAGAAAACCTAGATCATTAAAAATATTTTCTTTAACTCCTAGAAGGCTGATTTCCCAAATCAGTTTCATTTCTCTGTAGTTCTGGTTAACCTACCCATAAGAAATAAAATACTCAAGCCCTGATCTGTGTGGTTCCAAGTTCATGAGTTCAAGCACAAGACATTAATTTTTCTCAGATCCCATCTTCCCTAGAGAAATTTATTGACCAGAAATCCACCCCCAAGGCCCAGCATCATTCTCTGATAAGAGATTTGAAGGGATCTTTTACAGGGGACCACAGGTATGATTAACTGCTGTGGGAACGGACAGATAATAATATTTATTGCATTTCCTAAAACTGAGGCTATAAGACAGCACATTATGAATATGCAAGTTGATTTAAATGAAGAAATGACCTAAAAAGACATAATAATATTATGTTTAACCGATTTCTCAAAATGCTTTATTATATTCAAAATATAACTATCTTCTACTATGACAAATGAGAAGTTTTAAGCATAATTAAAAATCAGCAGAATATTCCAATACTTTGTTGTAGAAGTAGTCTTGTTTCCATTAAAAGAAGAAACTATTTCTTTGAAAATCATTTGTAACTCCAGCTCCATCACTCATTGGATGGTGGTCTTAAGTTCTTGGGGTCTCCTCATTCCTTCCTTTGTAAAATGCACATGATTTATAGGCTCCTTCTAAACCTCACAATTTATTATTGCGAGATATAATTGATTCCAGGAATCAGTCATATTGTGCCATATCATAAATTTTGTATGGTTCTTGGGAGCAACAAGCTACGGTATTTCTTTTTGTTTTCATGTTTTCCAAATATGGTTTCATAGGCTTTATGCCTGTAATGTATGTCTTTCTTTAGTGGCTTTTTATTTTCTAGGTAAATTCCCATACTGTGCATATTATTATTAGTCATTTAAACAATAATTTTGTAAAATACAGCAATGTTTAGAAACCTTGACAAAATAAGTATATAGATCTGGACACAATAATCTCCCACTGTCTTAAATAAGTTCACACTTTCAGCCTTCAAGATGTTCTGATGGAAGATGGGGATGGTTGAAAGGAAAGAAAGATGAGGTTAAATATCAAACACATCATTTTAGATGTGGAAGACTTTGGAGGTAATCTAATCCAGTCGTTCCCAAACCTTGTTATGAAGTCTATTATATGTGGAAGCTGTTAATAAACTATCCCCCTCACTCCCAATCCCCCAGTCCCTAAACAAACTCAGTAGCTCTGGAGTAAAGTAAAATACTGAACATCTGTATTTTTATCAAGTTCCTCAGGTATTCTGAAGTACAGGCAGGTCTAGGAACCATCAATATAGTCTAATCACATTATTTAATAAAGGAGAAAAATAAAATTCAAATAAAGAATGAAGACAAAATGAAAATGCCCAGGCCTCCTTTCCCAAAAGCCTGGTGTTCTTTCCACTACCTTATCAACATAAATTATAATTACATATAAATAATATGCCTAACATTAAATTAAAAACCAGTTACAATTCTTTGGATCCAAGGAGAAAGATTACCCAGGACAGTGCAAGAAAATGAGGATTAACTAGAGGAAAACTTACATCACATAGAGAGATCTAGACCTAATAAGAAGAACAGAGGGAACTGGAGGAAAAGAAGCAGGAGACAGGAAAGACAGGGATGCTATGCAAATTAGTAAGGGAAAATAGACACAGTAGGACCTTGAATTAAACTCAAAATGAAAAACATGTATAATCTTTACATCTAGGAGGCTCAAAAGAACTGGCATAAATGAGAATGACTTTATATGCTGCATTTCTGTATTATACTTTCTCAATCAGCATAATAATCTGTGGATGGACAGATTGCAACAGAGCACTATCAGCAGTGTTAGAGTACCTCCATTAAATACTAGGCCAATAACCAGGTCACTGCAGCCTAGGAAGAGCTTCCTCTGGGGTCTCCCATTTCCACAAGTACCTTTAAGCAGGACCCATCCAGAGTTTTAAGGTATTGAAATGGTAATCTAATCATCATTATCATTATCATCAAATTATCATCATCAATTAAAAAAACTTATGCAGTTGAATTACAGCAGTTATCAAGGGGAAAAATTATGTAGAGAATGTTTGAACTACAAAATGAATTTCTTTTTTGGCTGCAACAGAAGAGAGCAGTTTGGTCCCAAGTACTTAAACATGTTAATTGAACACCCAGATTTGTTTAGCTGATATTTGTGGCATTTATATTTTCTTAATATTTCAATAGAACAAAAGGACTGCAACATCTTTTGGGATGGCATATGAGATCAAAGGAGAAAAGCAAATTTTAAAACCTTGGAAAAACATTATGGCATGTTCTATAATTTATCAATAATTATCAGTGAAGTAGGTGATAATTGATATATTGTACCAATTACCTTATTAATTTCATGAAACTTCTGAATTTTGTTTTCCATTAAAGGAGATCAAAACATAGGAGATGCATTAATTTCAAACCTATTACCTCTAGTGAAAGGTCATTTAAATTTGGCTATAACTTTAAAGGACAAATTGTTAGAATTAACTACTGATAAAAAATTGAAGATGAATTTTGAAAATACAGGATGACTTGCTTAATTTTGAGCAAAATTTTAAAAAGAACATCCTGAGCTTGCTAAACTTTTCTTAAAATCTCTTCTTATATAACAATCAAATACTCCTATGAGACTGGTTTCTCTACTAGGAGTGTTATTAAAACAGACAACGGAAACAGTTTAGACATACGTTATCTCCCTCAAGTGGCACTGTCATCAATCGAACTAAGATTAGATAAATTAACAAGCAAAAAGCAAGCTTATTTGTCACATCGAAGGCATTGAATCTTGATATACATGGTATTCTTTCAAAATGGGTTATAGGTATATAATAAAAGAAACCCTGGGTTCACTTTTAACATTTCATTTATTTATAATGGTGGAAAAACAAAAACTTATAAAGATAATAAAAATTCCCAATAGTAGCTGTTGTCAAATTTTTTGATGCCTTTTACATCAGACAAATGATTGAGGATACCAGAGTATCCTTTAAGAACCACTGGTCTGTGTTAATCATCTAGGCTTTGTAGTTTGTATGCAGTTTTAATTTTATTTTTATGATAATTTGTTTTTACTGTATTTTACAAAAGTATTGGTCTACAAAGGATTGGAAAAATTTTTTAAAACAAAACAAAACCTGACTTTTGCCACATGTGTGTTTCAGAAGAATTGCTCTAATTCAACCCTGCACGACTGAGTTAGACATTTCTAGACTAACACTGAATGATTCACCAGTCACTTCATTTGACAGATTATTAGTATTACACTGAAGTACTATATGAAAGTCATGGTAACCTAAAATAGTTCATTAAAAGCCAGATATGTGAAGAAAATCATCTAAATACCTTTAACCTTTTATTCTGTCAATTCATAATCTCACAATGTAGAAACAAAACAATCAAGGGCCTCTAAGAAGTCACATACGTGTTTTTACTAGCTAAAAGAATGAAAACAGCCTGCATGCCCATCAACAACTACATAAATTATGACACAGTCATACAACAAAATATTATAAAGCCATGAAGAAGAATGAGGTAGCTTAATGTGTGCTGATTCACAACTGTCTCCAAGATATACTGGAAAGTACATAAGCAAGTCACAAATAGTAGGTGTTATGATCCCACTTATATGAGAACAAATCTGAGGAGATGCCATTGAGCTGGGACTGCATTCTCTGTGGGAGGTGAAGGTTCATCACAGCAGAGCTGGAAGCAATAAATGCAAAAAAAAAATAAAGCCATGTTGTGTTTACACTCTGAGAAGAGACTCATAATACGAACCAAGTTACATATGCCACCTCTGCAGGCTGGAAGATAATTTTTTAAATGGAACTACTTTTTCCCAGTTTCTGGCTTTATTTAGGGAACCCATTTCCTAAGATTCTCAACTTTAGGATGCACAAAAATTAGTGTACCAGATGGCATACACACCAAAAAAACTGTATGTACTATATTTTATAAGACATTTTTTAAAGATTTTTTAAATTTAATTTTGGTTATATATTAAAGCTAACTTTAAAGAATCCTTAAAGCTGTATTCTTTAAAGGATGTGACTCAACTATAGTAAAAACACATACATAAGAGATGACACTAGCCATCTGTAAAAAGACAACAATTCCAATTTTGAAAACCACTAAGACAGTCGATTTTAAGTGTTCTTACCACACACAAAAAGGCAAGTTATGTGAAGTACTGCAGATGTTAATTAGTTCTCTTGAGCCATTCCACAATGTATACATATCTTAAAGCATCATGTTGTACATAATATATAGAATGTTTGTCAATTAAAAATTAAAATGTTTTTAAAAATTCCAAGAGGCATTTTATAAATGCACTACAAATGTAACCAAAGATCTAACCAAGAACACCCTGGGGTCCTAAAAAGTTTTAGCCTACTCCATTTAACTTCGGTTTGCTTGGTGCGTACTGTATGTTATGGACCACTGGGAATTCAAAGATGAAAAGATGCAATGGCTCTCCTCAAGTAGCTCATGGTCTAGAGGTACTGAACTTGAAGTACCTTAACTTAAATGTTTTTTATAAAGCAAGATAATCTAATAGAGGAAGAAAAAAAAACATAGAGGCAGGAACCCCTTATGTGAGAGGAAGGCTTTATAGAGAAGGTAGCTTTGAGACGAAATTTTAAAAGGCTTGCATATCAGTTTCCTGTGGCTGTCCTAACAACACACCACAAACTGGGAAGCTTAAACAACAGAAATTTACTGTCTAACCGTTGTGGAGGTTAGAAGTCCAACATCAAGGTGCGTGCTGGGCTCTGCTCCCTCTGAAGGTAGCTAGAGTAGAGCCTGTTCCAGGCCTCCCTCCTAGTTTCTGGTAGTTCCTTGGCTTATGGCAGCATAACTCCAATCTTCAAATGGCATTCACCGTGTGTGTGTGTGTGTGGTCTGTGTCTGAATTTCTTTTTTTTTTTGATAAGGGCACAGTCATGTTGGATTAGAGCCCACCCTAATAATTTCGTCTTAACCTGATCACCTGCAAAGACCCTATTTCCAAATAAGGTCACATTCACAAGTACTAGGAGTTTGAACTTCAACATCTTTGAGTGGGGTGACAGTGGGGGTGGGGGGCCACAAATCAATCCATAAGAGCTTGTCAAAAGCTGGGAATGGGACTTCTGGACAAGGAGGAAAGCATATACAATGAAACTGCACAGATAAGAAGAGTATCATGAAGAGTATAATATGCCCTTTGAAGGATCCCCTCTGTGCAGGTGATACAAGCCACAGAAAGACCACTCTACTTGCACTGTGAAGAACAGATGTACAGGAGCTATACTACAGACAAGGAGACTATCTGTGATGTTACTATAGCTTTGATTCAAGGAAGGGATGATGGAGAGGGTTGCTTTCACTATGAGAAAGAGAGAAAAAGCCAGAGGAAAGGAAAGAGAAACTGAGATATATTGATCACCCACATTGGCTACTAGCTGTAAGTTACCTCATTTAGTCCTCATAACAACCCTATGCCATAGATACTGATAATTCCATTTTTACAGGTAAAGTAACTAAGACCCTCAAGTTTAATCCAAGGTCACACACTTAGTAAGTAGCAAAACCAGCACTCAGAGACGGGTCTGACTGAAAAAGCCAAAAAATTTGAGAGATGTTTACAGTTTCAGGGATGAGAGAAAATAATTAGAAGATATAACAATTAGAAAGGTTTAGAACAATTTACATATTAAATAAACTTTTGGGGGAAAAAAACGGGGGTAAGGAAAATAAATAGGTGTATTTACACGAAACAATTGGAAGAGTTTACAATAAACCAATAAAAGTTATTACCTGGAGGGTAGAATGGAAGGAGTAGAGAAAGAAGAAGAAAAGTGGGAACAGGAGTGGAAATGAGACTCCTTAAAGTTATTACCTGGAGGGTAGAATGGAAGGAGTAGAGAAAGAAGAAGAAAAGTGGGAACAGGAGTGGAAATGAGACTCCTTAACACATATTTTTATATTCTTTTGAGTTTTTAATCCATGTGAACATACTTCCTCTTCAAAAAAACAACAAAAAAGATTTCAGAAAGAAAGAAAAATTCAGTAAAATAGCAAAGACAAGCCAGAATGAAGAAGATTGTATAGGTATTTAAAAGCTGGCTTAAGTCTTTTCGTAAACATTTACAACCCTAATTTTGTTTATTTAACATGACTGATTTGTCATTATGATGATACATTTTATTTAACGTTGTCTAGAGCAAAGAGAAAACATCTTTAAAGACTCTGTGTGGGTTAAAAAGACAGCTAAATCCAATAACAATGTAGGAAAAATTAGAATCAGTAATCCCTATTATCATTTTGTTAAACCTCTAATCTCCATGAAACATAAAATCAATGTACTTATCCAGCTGCAGAAAGAAATCACGTTCAGATGAATACGAGGGAAAAGGCTTTATTGTGGTTCTACCAGAAGAAATGCCTGGTTGCTAATAAAATACAGTACTAAGAATTTTAAATTTTGTCTTTTAAAGGGAAGAAATATACAGAGGAAAAGGGTGTAAAGTGAATACACTGCTATTCTTAATTTCTACAGTAATTAGTTAGAATAAAAATCAATTCACACAAACCTTCTACAATTTCTCTACTCCCTAATTCTTGCCTTATCAGAGCAAAGAAATAACTACTTGGTACTGAGAGTGGGGAAAAATCCTTATGGTAACATGAATGACTCTCAGACCACAGTTATTACAATTTCAACCCTTTTATACTAAATGGCACTTTCAGTGAAAATAATGATACCAGCATAAGAGTGGAAAGTGGGAGAACTATTGCTCAGTCAACTCTTATTTAGAGACAGATTTTAAAAGAAAATCTTATTTTGAAACTTAAAGGTCATAAAACACTCTCTTAAAATAAGGAATCTCGTTTTTGTCCTGCATCAATCATACGTTCCTTTCTCCCATGACTGCCTTTGGAGACTTAATATCTCCAAACATTCTACCAAACAAGAACTCCAAAAATGTCTTCATTGATTGGCTACTCTGCTCAGTGAAAAAAAAAAATTTTTATTGGAAATGGCTGTCAGAGCTATTTTTATTGATCTCCTAAAGGCTCAATCTGTAATCATGTACTACACTTCTCTACTCTGAGAACAAAATGAATTAGATGACTGCCTCTCTTTTTCAGACTGCATATTATGCCATTTTAGGAGCTCAGACTATGGACCTGAATGGAATTGATGACCTGCATTTGGTGCCTCTCCCTTGAGGATCTTTAGACTCTCAGAGAAATAGCTAAGGAGAGAAGGCTTGCAAACCTGCTACCAGTTTGTTCCTTTTTGCTCCAATCTCTTCAAGAAAACCACCCCCACTTTCAACTTCTAGAGGCAACAATGAAGCACAGAAAACCTTGTGAAAAGGAATTTTCAAATGCCCATTTGTATTAAAAGACACAAGTATCATTTCATCCCTTTATTGTTGTCAAAAAAGAACTATATGTTCAACTAGAACTATTTGACAGTCTGTGGGATAAACTTATGGGTCCTTAATGTTAGCCTGTTTCCAAATATCAATACATTCTCCAACCCATCTGAAATTTCATTAAATTTCATTAAATATTTGTCTTTTCTTGGTTAAAGCTTTGACTCCAGAAACCCTTTGTTAAAATTCAAATAAGAGCAAACGATTAAAAAATTAAAATAACCTAAGTAACGAATACCTTTGATCAGTGTATGCCTTATTTTTCAACATGATAACAGAGAAAATGGCCAACAGTATGTATAGGCTTTAATAAAGGAAAAAAATCATAATAGAAGTCTAAGTAATTGCCGCTACCTAAAGAGAATGGTGTTACTCACCAGAAAGGGATTGACTTGGTCCATTCAAGCTGCTATAATGGAATACTGTAGACTGGGTAGCTTATAAATAACAGAAATTAATTTTTCACAGTTCTGGAGGCTGGGGAGTACACCATCAAGGTGCCAGCATATTTGGCATCTGGTAAGGGACCGCTTTCAAGAAGACAGTGCCTTCTTGCTATGTCTTCAGATGGTAGAAGAGGTACAGGATCTCTCAGGGGCCTCTTTTTTAAGAGCACTAGTCCCATTCACGAGAGATCTGCCCTCATCACCTAGTCATCTTCCAAATGTCCCACTCTCCATTATCATCACCTTGGGGGTCAGGATTTCAACATATGAATTTTGGGAGGATACAAACATTCAGACCATAGCAAGAACCCTAGAGAAAATATCAAGGAGGAGCTAAGAATGTGAAGTGCTAACAGAGAAGATGGGAGGCCAGGAGCAGAGGCTCATGCTTAGAATGCTAGCACTTTGGGAGTTGAGGCAGGCAGATGGCTTGAGCCCAGGAGTTCAAGACCAGCCTAGGCAACATGGCAAAACCCCATTTCTACAAAAAAAAAAGTCATGCATGGTGGCACGTGCCAGTAGTGCCAGCTACCCCGGGGCTGAGGTGGGAGGATCTCCTGAGCACTGGAGGTTGAGACTGCAGTGAGCTGTGATCATGCAACTGCACTCCAGCCTGGATGACAGAATGAGACCCTGTCCCCTCCCAAAAAGATAAGTAAATAAAAAATGAAAGAAGGAGGAGAAGGAGGATAAAGAGGAGAAGGAGGAGAAGGAGTAGAAAGAGAAGGAGGAGGAGGAGGAGAAGGAGGAGGAGAAGAGACAGTACAAAAGAAGAGGCTTGCCCTGCTTTCCCATTTTGCTACAGGTGGCCCTGGCATCAAGTTTGCATTTCCCACATGTGATTGATCCACTTTAAATACTATCTTTGACATATATTTCACAGCAGTGTGACATTTTCTTGCCACCAAGAATGTCTTTAAGCTGGCTCTTCCTAGGCATTCACATTAGTGTCAACAATTACTTCAAAAATCAGGGAAGGCAAAAAGATCTACTGGAAAAAAAAACAGTACCATAGATTCCAACCCAAAATATAAAGAAGCATGGGGTAATTTGTTATTTGGGATTATCTGTGGCGCCTGTAAATGAGAAAAGCTAAGATAAAGGGATTATTTAATGCATTATTTTTCTGGTAAATTGAGTATCTTAGTAAGCAAATGTTACTTCCAATACAAAGATTTAGCTGATAACTTTGATATGAACATACTTTATGGTAGATTTGCTAAGTTTTCACCCCCATTTAGAATAAGTCTCTAAGAATCAACTGATCATCTTCTCAGAAGTAAGATGAGGCTTTCTTCTGTTTCTCAATAGAAACTATCACATTCCTAGAACTCCACGAGTGTAGTTCTCCTGTCTCTAAGTCACCAAGTAAGGCAGCTGCATTATCTCTTTCATAATTCTTGGGTACAATTATAATTATAATTATAATGGGCATAATTATAGCCAAATCACTATTCTCCACAAAATAACTTACGCTTAAAGTAGTTTGACTTAATAGTATCTCCTCTTTCAAAATCACTAATAGTAAGGGCTGTATATAATACTTGCATTACTCCTACGACTATGCTCAGAATGAGTAACTTTACAAGGCACTTTTCTAAAGAGTCTACTCAAAATAATAAAGTGGCTAAAGCTAAATGCCAAAATATTAATGATGGTAATTGTTATATGAAGTTACGGGTGATTTTTCTTTTTTGTGAGTCTCTAGAGTTTATGAATTTTTCACAATGAGAATGCATGATTCTTATAAGGAAAAAATGTATATGGTTGTTCCTAAACTTTGACAATGAAATTTCCCAAACAAGATTAATCTCTCTACATGAATACAACTTGTATGTAATATTAACAATTCTTTTCTAGTATTTAGTACTTTGTTCCATATATTATATTTCCTTGTATAGGTATGCAATAGATTACACGCTCTCTGAGGACGCATTTTGGGCCTTACACATATATGTCGCCTCCTATAGTACCTCATAGTGCCTCATATTTGCTAAGTGATCAGGACTGTATGAGGGATGAATGATACTTCCAATAACACAAAGGTTAAAGTTGATCTATTCATCCAATATGCACAGAATTGCTCAGATGTTGAAATACTTCCATACTAATTGGTAAACACTATAATAGCAATGCAATAAGCAAAAAAAAAATAAAATAACTAAAAGCATAAACTATAATTCAAATTCATTAATTCAAGCTAATTGTCAGAGCATGTTGTGAAAATAAATTCTAACTAGGTCCCCCATCAAGGGAGAAATTAGAAATACTTGCAGAAATATCCACCTGTTTGGCCCACAGCAAAAGTATGCAGTAAGAACGTACTGCACATTCTTTACAAGACGCCTTAAGAGTATCATTCATTTGTTACATTGTTAAATTACATAGTTCTATTTTCAAATAGTTTAGTTTTTTCTCTGGTTTTTATTGTCAGCGCACTACAATTCCTGTGTAAGTAATAAGTGTGTAGCTTTTTAATATTTATAAATGGAAAAGTTTACAATAAAATATTAAAAACAAATTATCAGAATAAAAGTACTATAAAGTTAGGGCAAGTTTCTTATTGTTCCTTTTGAATATTATAAACGTGAATTTTCTGCATCTATAGGAAAACAAAGTAAAAACTGTATTAACAAAGAACCAGGGCTAGGAACATCTTCTAATATAGCACAAAAGCAGTAATGGCCTAGAAAGTCTTTTTATGCTGTGCAACAATCAGTGCATAGTAAAACAAATTTTAGCTCTGGAATGAAAAACGTATTTGAAGAAAGAATATGATTGGTTTATTTTCTGAACAAAATGATGAGTACAATGGTGCTGAAGGTTTTATTGTCTAAATTTCATTTTCATCACACAAGCAGTCATGTTCTGTTAAAGCCCATGATTCCAAAAGAAAATGCAATCATTAATGAGGAAAATATAAAAGAATATTACAAATAAGTTTCACAAGTTAAAGCTTGTAAAATAATAAGTTCAAAGAAGTTTTATCAGTGTCAATAAGGCAAATGTAAAACATTAAGATCCGTCATAACACTGTCGTAACATATAACACCTAACTTACACTTATAAAACTGTGTACTATAGATAAAAATTATTAAGCATTTTAGACATGAAATATTTACACAGACTTTAAAATAAAAAACAATGCAATGGGTGTATCACTGCAACCTAGATTTCTGTTTTCAGTTATTGTAAAACTATCTATTGCAATGTTCTCAAAGTGTGGTCCAGGGATGCCTGGGATACCTGAGATCATTACAGGTGGGCTGCAATATCAAAATTATTTTCATAATAATATGTAAGTGTCATTCGCCTTGTAACTCTCATTCTCTCACAAGTGTATGTGTTTTCCAGAGGCTACATGACATCATCTTTCTCACAGCTAATGGAATGCGTGCTGTATGTTCCTGAGTTTTTATATGTTCTCAGTTTTAATTCCTAATATGTTAAATACTGGTAGATAGAACCACACAACGCAAAGCTTTCGGGGGGTCCTCAACTATTGTTAAGAATATAAAGGGAACTGAAACCAAAAAGTTCAGAACCAGCAACTTAACAAAATAAGAAAATAACCTTTCAGAAATCAAGGCAGTAAAACATCAATTGTTCACAATGAATATTCAAATGTTTCCTATTATACTGTCACGTGAAATTTAAAACTTTTGAAGACTATTTAATGGTTTCTGTTGATTTTGTGGAGCTGGGAGGAATAATATCTGAAATAATATATCAAAATTATTTTGTAAGTTCTTGAGAAAATGATGCCAATAAATAATATTTACATTATAAATCTTTACTGTATTTTTACAGGCAATATAATAAGGAAAAAGTCTAGAGGTTTAGCCAAAATTATAGCAAATGTTAAAAAATATTTAATTTGATGCTAAGGTACCTTGTTCAATTACCTATGGGTGATTCCATAAAAGGCACAGTATTAATCAAGTTCTCACTATATTTTTTCTTACATGCTTTCTGTGTATTACCATACTCTAATAGGCAATATGCAAAAAATTTAAATAGTATACCTTAAGAGCTCAGAATTGAAATAATGAAAAATGGAGAAATATTTGGGCCTTAGTCTTAAATCCAGACTTAGGCTCTAAGTCTAGAACTGCAAAAGCAGTTTGAAAATTGTATCAGACTTTATATATTCACTTTTAAGGCAATTATGAAACAAGAACAATTAAACCTAGGAAATACACCATTTTTTGGAGATTTGGTTTCAATAAACAATGTTGTAGCAGAATTCTCTTTAGCTTCAAGAAATGTCTCACTCACATTTTTATAGTTAACACATTACTTTGACAAAAATAAATGTAATTTATAAAATTTTAAAAAGTAGCTAAAAAGAGAAAAAGCAGACATTTTTAAAAGTTAGACGATTTGAAATAAGGAATCAATTTCAAAAAAGAACTATTAGATGTAAAACTGCATTTGTTTCTGATGATAAAAGTGAATGACATAATGAATTTTTTAAGTTGTTTCAATTTATTGAATCCTAAAACTTGGCTGAATGATATTTGCTAAGCTCCGTAACTAAAAGTGGTCAAAAGCCTGGGCGTGGTGACTCATGCCTGTAGTTCCAGCACTTTGGGAGACCGAGGTGGGCAGATCACGAGGCCAGGAGATCGAGACCATCCTGGCTAACATGGTGAAACCCCGTCTCTACTAAAAATACAAAAAAAAATAAGCCTGGCATGGTGGCGGGCGCCTGTAGTCCCAGCTACTCGGGAGGCTGAGGCAGGAGAATGGTGTGAACCCGGGAGGTGGAGCTTGCAGTGAGCCAAGATCGCACTCCAGCCTGGGCGACAGAGTGAGATTCCGTCTCAAAAAAAAAAAAGTGGTCAAAAATAAATTAACCCAGTTAATTATATGTGATAGGCCAATAAATGATTATTTACTTGAAACACAGATATCGAATATATAGAAATCTCAGGTGGTATTATAAGTGTTAGAAAAATTAATGTAAATTATGTTCATCAAAAACTAGTAAGATACTTAAAACCACAAACAAGATCACTGATACAAATAAAATTCTCTACTTATTTAGACTACAAACTGGCTTACCTTTTGAGAAAACAACCTAGTATTATCTACCAAAATGTAAAATATAGAACATCATTTGGGTAAAAATTCCACTTCTAGTATTATGACCAACCAAATACTCTCATTTACATATAAAAACATATGTTACCCACATAAGGATATTCATTAAGACATTATTTCCAATATGAAAACCTATAAGCAACCGGAAATCTCACCATTAGGAAAATAGGTTAAATTATAGTAGATATGTCCAATGGAATTCTTTTTGTTTGTTTGTTTGTTTGTTTTGAGACGGAGTCTCACTCTGTCGCCCAAGCTGGAGTGCAGTGGCCGGATCTCAGCTCACTGCAAGCTCCGCCTCCCAGGTTCACGCCATTCTCCTGCCTCAGCCTCCCGAG